GCCGGGAAACCCAAGACGATGACCCTGTCATGGTAACATCTCTCTCTTTACTTGCTCTTCTATGGATTCTTCATTCTTTGGTTCATATCCACCTTGTTAGATGGTCCATTTCCCCTTAGTCAACGCGCATGGATCATCACAAGGTGGTATAACAATTCTTGAAATGATTTTTCTTTCCATGTGTCCTTGGTTTTTTTTGTTCTTTGTGTGTTTGTGCGTCCATACAAGAAATATTATATTTCATGTATCTCTCAACTCAGACATGAACCGTGATTTTCGATTTTGGAAATCTACTAACATTAATTATGTTTTCTTTTTTCATTATTACAAATCTCAATTAGAAACTATATTTTGGCACTAAATATCCTGTCTAAAGCGAACTTTAATAAATTCAAAAGTTTGTAATTCTTAATTAAAACCAAACTAAACGTCTAAAACACACACATAATATGTGTTATTGTAAATTTGCATGATCGATCGTATTTGCATGATATAATGAATTTAATTACCATGCAGAAGAAGAAGAGGATCTTGACCTACATTAACTGTTGTATCAGGCCAAACTAAGGCCTTGTTACACAAAGTCGGAAGTCTTTCTCTCGTCAGTGATATATATGTCAGTGTACGTAAAGACATTAGTGTAACACTTCTGTAATCTCTGTGCATTATATGTTAAGATACTCGTGGTTGATGTATACTTTTGGACTTCTGCTTACATGATACGAGAGCAAAATTATAACATGAATCAATATATGTCTTGTCAAATCATAAAATACTTTACTTATGAGTCATGCATATATGTCAAATTTGCAATTATTAGCTAGGTATATCATTCACAGTCAAATTTTTTTTTTTTTTTTGTGATAAATGGATATCGAATAGCCCCAAGCATTATAAGTCCAATCAAACTCAGAATGCCCAAAGCCGAGTGTACCCGCTCTTTGAGCTGAAGCAAGAAAGATTAAAGGTCCATCAGAAATTTGACGTTTTGTCTGGCAAGCATTATCTTGCAGTCTTGCAGTTAACAGTGATCTTCGTAACCAAATGGAAAAAAAGTATTGAGAGAATGGATTTGTGGGTGATGTTTGAGTATCCTCATCGGATGGGAATATATCCTCCTGTTCCATGGATCATTTGGTTTTTACTATGAAACGGAAATTTATTTCAAAATGTTAATTACGGGAGATCGTAAATCATGTTGTATACAAAGCAAATTGTATGGTTTTAAGGCCAACGCAAACACAGATCGGCTACATTAGACCCTTGCACATGAGCTCTCAATGACTAATATTGTCTTTGTTAGCAATAGGATCAGTTGAAAAAGTATAAGCTTTTCACTCATTACTCGGTCTTGTCTCTGTTAGTTATCAGTTGTCTTGTTTCCCTAAAAAATCAGAGAAGAATACGACCGGAGGAGATTCTGCTTCCTATGGATTTGGTAAGGGAAGAGATCCCTTATGAGATTTAAGTGTGTCTCAAAGCTTTGGTCATC